AGGGAGAGGCCTCGTGGAGTCTGGGCAGATGAGAAGAAGATGGGTGTCTGGGCTGTACAGCATGGTGTGGTCTGGTCTTGTCCAGATGGGTGAGAGGGAAGAGTCCAGGATGACTCCCCTGGCTCAGTCAGTCAAATAGCATTTACTAAGTGTCTTCAGTGTGCCAGGGACTGTGCAGAGTGCTAAGGATATAAAGAAAGGGGAAAACAGTCTTGCTCTCTCACAGACTGACAGGAGAGACCACATGACAACCCCTGTGTGCAAAGAGATGTGTACAGGACAAATTGGGGTCGTCTCAGAGAGAAGGCGTGAAGATGAAGGAGACCCATAGTTTAAGAAGTGCCAAGTGGGAGAGACTCAGGGCAGCAGCTATTGCAGCAATCCGGGTGTGAGATGATGGGGGCCTACACCAGGGTGGTGGCAATGTCAGAGGAGAGAAGGGAGCAGTATCTGCAGGAGATGTCGGGGTGTGACGACACCGATGTGGCAAGCTTGTGCGATTCTGAGTGTGGTGGTGCCCTTGATGGAAATGGGAAATTAGGAAGAGGTTGTGAGTTTGGGAGGAAATTAAATTTAGCATGACCTTAGCAATGTATTATTGGGAAACTCAGATACGAACAATTAGTTCTCTTCAATTAATCAATAAACATTTATTAAGCACCTACACGTGCCAGGCACTGTGCTTTAGATAGAGCAAAGTGTTGCCATCTTGGTCTTAACCACTTTCTAGACATCTCTTTTCCATCCTGTCCACACTCAGGCCTCCTCTTCCATCCAGAAATCATCAGACCACAGACTCTCTTGGGGTTAGCTCTCACTTTACCTTGTTCCAAGTTCACCATCCCACTTCTAGAAATCTCTATCATAGCTTATAATAATAATAACTCTCTACGGTTTGCAAAGATATTATCTCACTTGAGCTTCACCAAAACCAACTGCATGAGATAGATAGTAATGTAATCCCTGTTTTTACAGATGAGGAAACTGAGGATGAGAGGTTAGGTGATCTGTCTAGGATCACACATTTAGTAAGTGTCTGAGGTAGGATTTGAACTCAGGTCTTCTAGCTTGAAGACAATACTCTCTTCACTGTGCCACCTCACTGCCTATACTCCAGCCTCCTCCTCTTCCTCCTTCTCTTCCTCCTCCTTCTCTTCCTACCTGTGGCTCTGATTGATGAGCTTTCACCTTATTTTACTAGCTCAGAAAATGGAAATCAAATCAAGATATATCAATTGACCCTCCATCCTGACTACCACTCTGCTGATGTGTTATCTTCCTCCCTTAGAATGTAATGCCCTCCTTGAGGGCAAGGACTGTCTTGCTTACTTATTGTTCTGTCCCTAGAGCCTAGCACACAGTATTTGCGTAATATGTGTATTTTTATTTAATCAATTAGGGCTTTGTGGCTTGCACATTCAAAATCATCATCAGTGCCCTTACTCCATGAATGTGTGTCTCTCTAGACTATGGGAAGATCTTGATTTGGGTGGCCCACATTTAGACTGTATGATCTGATGTGCTCACTAATAGAAATATCCAGGACTCAGGTTCAACTGTTCTAAAATTCTATACAAGGAATTCAGGTTTTTCTTCTATGTAGTGTCAAGATTTGACATGCTTGGGAAGCGTTTTTGTTTCTCTCTTTCTGCTGGTTCCTGTCAAGAGCTGTCTTACTTGAAAACACAGAGACGGTATGGTACAGTGGAAAGAACATTGGATTTGGGCTTAGGAGAATGACTCTTCCTTTGTGACACTGAATAAGTTTCTTCACCGCTCTTGGCTTTACTTTTTTTTATTTTTCTGCAAAATGAAATGGTTAAACTATATCAGTGGTTGTTACCGAGGGCCCATGGGTGGATTTCAGGAGATCTGTGAATTTGAGTGGGAAAAAAAATATGCATTTTTTATTTTCACTAACCTCTCACTGAAATTTAACAACAAACAGATTCTGAGAAGCAGCCCATCAGCTTCACCAGATTGCTTATGGGGTCCGTGATACGAAAAAAAAAAAAGTTAAAGACCTCTGAAATAGACATTCTCCAACTTTTCTCCTAGATCTGACATCCCATGAAATTGAACCTCAATAGCCATGAGCTTCCTTCATCCTTATCTCTCTTCTCCACAAGTAGGTATGATTTATAATTAAATCAGGAAGGAAGAAGCACTCCTCCGCATGGTTAATAAGATGTTTTCAGCGACTCAAAACAGGTGGCGCACAGGTCACATAGACCTGGTTTCAGCCTCTGGGAGGAATTAGAGATAGTAGAAAAGAAACGTTAAACCAATGCATGACTAAATAGACTTCACATCATATGTAGGTCAAGGCTTTTAGGGCAGAAGGCAGGGATAAGCCGATAATTGGAGTGGTGGAGGTAAGAGAGAGGAGCTGAGCTAGTTCCCATGTTCCAGCAGGACAGACAGGAGAGAATGACCACGTGGCCTAGGGAGCACCTCTCCTCCCAGTTTTTAACAAGATATCTTTCTTCCAGAGGTGCAGGGGCTGAGGTGGTAGGGAATTTAAGGAGTCTACCATAAAAGGGAAAAAGAAAATTCTTTTTATTCTTCCAGCTCTGCTATCTTTAGAAGTTGTCAGGTTTTTAAAATAGACTCTCAGAAGCCATTGTGTGTCATGGGACTTGGGCCTGATCTTCCAGAATTGCTCAGGAAACCTCAGGAGCAGCACCACGTCTGTTCACAGTTCCCTTCCTATTTTTTCCTGGATGGTTGAGTGCACCAAGGCTTGGTACCCTCTCGCATATCAATCACCCCTCACCAGGTGGAAAGCAGGCGGCTGCTTTCCAGCTCATTTCAGTGAGGTGGGGCCTACACGTGTGTGTATGTGAGGAGGGGGTGTTGGAGGGCTGACCTGTCTAAGAGGAAAGCAGTTTTATAGGTAGGTGGTTTTGTGCTTCTCCTCACCACCCCTGATTCCAGATGCTGCTAGAATCACAAGTGAGTTCTGAACCCTGAGAATTGCTATAAAGGCATGGTCCCCACAACGTAATGAATCAGAGCCAGGAAAAAAACTCAGCAAAAAACAGGCAGCCAGTGGGTGTTCTAGATTAGGAAGAAGATAGACCAAAATCTGTCAAGGGGAAGGACCGCAGTCTCCTTAACCAGACCTAAAGGGAGGGAGGCAAAAAAGAAGCGCCTGCCCTTCCTTCTGTCCCACGCGCACTTTCACCCCAGGTCCCACCTGGCTGCATCAACCCCAGGGCTTCTGTGTGTCAGGAGGGACTCGGGCTCAGCTCAAACTTGTCTCTCTGATTTTAGCTCTTACCTTGTAAACCCTCTACCTCCACATGGAATTAGCTCTTATATTTGCTGCCTGCTTGGAGGACACCCAAACACATTCCTGCTTGGGCTGACGAGCCTGAGGATCCCGTGAATGCCAGGCCCATCGAGGCTTCTCTGGGTCTTGCATTTGAGGTGACCAACAGCATTAAGTGGTGGCATGGAGAAGACTTGGCTGGGTCTCCTGAGAAGCAGACACCAGATTTGAGCTGTTTGGAGTTTTCCCTTCTGTTGTGGGTTGCAAGTTTATCTATTAGAATTAGAATTTGATTGAATGCCAGTGCATCCCAGATGCAATTATCTTTAAGAACACGCTGCTTCTGCTGATCCTCTCTGCTGTCGCTGATTAATTAGGCACTTTGAACTGTGCCCAACTGTTTGAAAGCTGTGACAAATACAACCTGCAGAGTTTAAATTTCCGACAAGCTCCTCTTCCCGTGCATTCCTGAGATCTTTTTTTTAAGCCATTTTTAAAGAAAACTTAGTATGTATTTGTACATATTTACAAACACACGGTCTGCCTGTTTCTTTATTGCAGAAAGATTATCTTTTCTGTTGGCTAAGAAATATATTAATAGATATTGTTAGCAGAAGGCATGCTAATTTTGGAATTAGAGTATCTGAGTTCAAATGCTGTTCCATTCCTTAGGTTGCCTAGAGTGAGTCCCTTACCCTTCAGTCAGCTCTGAATGAGAGGTTGGACTCATTTGCCCCTAATCTTCCCTTGAAGGTCTAAATCTTGTGTTAGGTAGATAGATAGATAGATAGATAGATAGATAGATAGATAGATAGATAGATAGATAGATAGAGTTTTTTTTAACACAACTTTTTTTTTAAGCAGATAACCATCCTGCAGTTTTGACTTGGGTGAACGTTGTTAACAACACTGATTCTTTCTTTCAGGTTCTCACACTTGAATTTTCTCTTTTACAGTGTTGGATCTTTTAAAACAGAATTTCTCGCTGAAGGGAATTAGGAACTTTAATTTTATAGTGTGTCATTCTAGGGCCTAGAATTCTCTGAGGACTCCCAAGCAGGAGGGAGGTCAGGGGAAAAGCTACTTGTTTCAGTGCTCCCTAGTTATTAGATATTTCTGAAGTACTGGATTTGGGAACATCATTCCCAGGCAGTCTTATTACCCTCCTGTTTTACAGCCTAAGAAACCTGCCCTCGGTGACTCATGCTGTGAGGTTGGGGCTAACATTGGATCAGAGAGGGCTGGGTAGTCCGGACATGCCAGTGAGCCGTCTGAGGCTTCCCGTGTCCCAGAGCATGTGCAGAATCACGTTTGGCCTCGAACATTGAAGCCTGATCAGAAGAGTTTCCACGACTGTCAGTCTGTTTGCTCTGTTTTTGCCCTATTTTGACAAGTGACAGATCCTCTCATTTCCAGGGGAAATATTTCCATGTTGCTTTTTTTTTTCCCTTTAACAAGTCATTATGTCTCTATATGTATTGCCATTTCCTTCCCATTCCCCTACATGCCTCTGAGACACTGGCGTCACTTTTCCCTTCAAAATCAAGAGACTTGGAGCTGGTTTACCTCCATTGAAGGAGGGAAATTGAGAATGCAGAATGAGGGTTGAGTCTTGAGAATGACAGACATTATTGCCTACTTTAAACCGGACCGCTGCTATTAAATTTAAAGTAAAGTTCGGTGAAAGGCTGGCTGTTCCCTGACTGCACCTTTCCTGTCTTCCCAGGTGACATCTTGCTTGATAGCTGTGGCGAAGACAGACCCTGAGGCCCAGGTGCGAAGAGCCGCTGTCCACGTGGTGGTGCTTCTGCTCCGTGGGCTCAGCCAGAGAGCCACTGAAGTAAGTGTGTCCCGACACCCATCTGGCCGTCAGCGGAGCGGGCGGCAGGTTTGGTGTATGCAGATGCCCTTTCATGCACACATCAGTCCGGAGGGTTTATCCTCAGCGAGTGCCTCTCTGTCTTCTCTATGACATGTGTGCCAAACAGAACCCCGACTGCCAGGAATGCCAGTGCCGCGGCTCGCACTTAGATGCCACAAGTTCTTTAATTCACCTTGTAGGGACAAGTTTCCAAGAGTAACATTCACGAGGTGAGTTAGCTGGAACGTGCCTCGGCCTCTCTGACATGAACTTTAGTGACTCCTCGCCTTGACTCAGTGGTTACTGGTGCTGAATCACTGCAAAACCCAGTAGGAAGATTTCTTTTTGAGAGGCTGCTGATAGCCATTCAGACCAGGGTGTGGTGGATGGGATTTTATTTTGCGTTTTAAATGAACCATTTGCCCTCGAGGGATTCTTCCCTAGATCCCTGACAAAGTAGGGAGAAAGGTTAGAGAATTATATCCCTCTGGAAGGAACTTCAGAAATCCTCACATTCAGCACCCTCATTTTACAGGGAGCAAACTGAGGCCCTAAGAAGTTTAATAATTATAATAAGTAATGATAGCTAATAGTAATAATAGTTAATATCCATATAGTATTTAAGGTTTGCAAAGCACTTTACCTGTATTATCTTATTTGTTTCCCACAATAAACCTGTGAAACAGGTACTGTTATTAACCTCATTTTACAGATGAAGAAACTAAAGTGAAGAAAAGTTAAATGACATTTCCAGGGTCACCCTGCTAGCATCTGAAGCAGGATTCAAACTCTGGTCCTCCTGAGTCCAAGCCTAGTACTCTTATCCTCTGTTCTACCTAGCTGCCCCAGGTAACTTGTTCAAGGTTAATTCAATTAAATTCAACAGACTGTTATAAGGGAATCCTTATTATGTGTTGGGGATGCAATAACAAAAGCAAGAGTTTCTGCCCTCAGAGAGCTTACATTCTACTAGGGGACGAACCATGTTCACACAAGGTATTTTGAGGTAGGAAAGAACACTTTCAGCTGAAGAGATAAGGAGAAGTTTCATGGAGGAAGAGACTGCGGAGCCCAGGATCACACAGCTAGGAAGTATCTGCGGCTGAATTTGAACTCAGGTCTTCCTAACTGTAGGCCCAGTGCTCTATCCCATGTGCCATCAGCTACCCTTCATAGGAGAAAGTATGTGCTAATTCACAGACGCAGGCTTGAGAGGTTGAGTTTAGGAGACAGATAATCATGCACTGTTGGTAGAGCCGTGAAGTGACCCATCCATTCTGGAAAGCGTTGTTGGAACTAGTCCCAAAAAAGTAACTAAACTGTGCGTATCCTCTGATCCGAGAGTAGCACTACTAACTGTCCCAAAGAGATTCTTAGGAAAAGAACCCGCATGCATAAAAACATTTACGGCAGCCATTCTTGTCATGGCAAAAACTGGAAACTCAAGAGTGTCCACCAATTGGGGATTGGCTAAAAATGTTATGGCAGACGAATGTCATGGAATATTGTTGTGCCATAAGAAGTGATGAAAGGGATGGTTTCAGAGAAACCTGGAAAGACTTCTATGAACTGATGCAGGGTGAAGTGAACAGAACCAGGAGAACGGTTTATATAATGACAACAGCCTTGTGAAAACGAACAACTTTGAAAGACTTAAGAACTGTGATCAACACGGTGACCAATCAAAATTCCAGAGGGCTGATGAAAAAGAATAGTAACCATTTCCTGACAGAGAAGAGGTGAACTAAGAGTACAAAATGAGATGCACATTTTTAGACAGGGCCAGTGTGGGAATTTGTTTTGCTTTTTTGCAACAAATATGTATTTGTGGTAAAGGCTTTGTTTTCCTTTTTTTCCCCAGGGACAGGAAATAAATGCCATTAATTTTTTTTTTTTAAAAAAAGGTAATAGACCCCTTCGGCTGAAATGTAGAGCATATAAAGAGAAATAGTGTGAAATAAGGCTGGAAAGAAAAGTGTGTGCCATATTGTGAAAGGCTTTCGATATGAGGCTAAGAAGTTAGTCTGAAGGTAAGAAAAACCACTGAAGGCTTTTGAACAGGTGATACACATGACTAGATCTGTGCCTCAGGAATATTATTTGGACAGCTCTATGGAGAATTGTTTGGAAAGGGAACGGACGGGAAGGAGGGAGACCAATTAAGAGGCTCCATGTGAGGCGACATTATGGCGGAAGCTATGTGAATAGAGCATGGGCGCTGAGGGGAGGCACACTGCAGAAGCAAAATCCACAGGACTTGCCAGTTCTCACCATATGTGGGAGTTGAGGGAAGGGGATGAGTCAAATATGACTCGGAAGTTACTAACCTGGGTGACTGGGAGGGTGGTGGTGCCCACCGCTGAACTGGGAAGTCTTTGGGAAGGGAAGATTTAAAGGAGAATGTGATGAGGTCTCTTGTAGACATGTTGAGTTTGAGATGCCAGTGGTACCTCCACGTGGAAGTGGCCAGTAGGCGCTTAGAGATGTGTGGACCAGAATACAGGAGAGAGAAGATTAGGTCTGGCGATGTCACTTTGGGAAAAGGCCACAGAGAAGCGATACTTGATTTTGGAGGAACAAAGGACTTTGCCACCAAAAAATGTAGTGGGGGGGGAGGGGACTGATACTTAGAGATGGTGAGCCAGCAAAGGTACCATGGGATAAGAAGAATCAGGAGAGAAGGGGGTCACTGTGGCCAAGGATCAGCGGACTGTAGGCTGAGAGCTAGAGGAGATCTTAGATGTCATCTATTCCAAAGCCATCGTTTTACGGAAGAGAAGACTGATGCCCAGAGAGATGAAGTGATTTGCCCCAGGTCACCCCAGTAATTGGTGGTGAAGATAAGGATTGCACCTAGGCCCTCTGACTCTAGATGCAGCCCTCCTTCTCACAACCATTCAAATCCAAGAGGAAGAGATGGCAAACAGTGTCCAGAGCTACAGAGAAGACAAGGAAGAACGATAGGATTTAGCAATTTGGAGTTCATTAGTAGTTTTTGAGATCTGTTTCATCATAGTCGGGAAGTCTGAAGCCAGATTACAAGGGACTGAGAAGTGATGGGGGGATGAGGAAATGATGGCAGCAAAATGTAGACTGCTCTTTTATTTAAGAGCTTGGCAGTAAAAGAGAAGAGAGAAATAAGACAGTGGGTTCCAGGGTCAAATGAAGGGTTGTTTTCTTTTAAGGATAGGAAAGACCATGTCATTTTTATAGGGAAGTAGTCATTGGCCAGGGAAGAGAATGATAGATAGAAGTAGCCCCTGGAAGGCAGATTGGAGGGTATGAGGTCAAGGGCACAAGCAGGAAGTTGGCCTTGGAAAGGAGAAAGGCCACCCAGCTTCTTCCAGGGCTCAGAGACTTGGGGCATGAGAAGAGACAGGTGAAGGAAGGATGTGGAAGATGTCCTCCATTCTTTCAGTAAAGTAGAATATAAGATCATCTGCTTAGACAGAGTAGGGATTGATTAGTGAAGGCTGCCGCTTTTACCTGGGGCAAGGTAAAAGGTTTGCCTTGTAGCAGCGAGGACCCAGTTGATAATAGATAGCATGAATTTGTTGTGGATCAAGCAATCATAGTTCTTGACTTCTGCCAGCAGCTTCTTGAGTAGTGAGTGGCCTTAGGACAAAGGGGCAAAAGGGATTCAGTGGTGGAGGACAGTGCATTGCTGAACTGGTTACCAGTAAGTAGGGCTGAGACTGTGAAGGAAAGAAAGTGAGGCCAGAGCAGGGGTATAATCAAGTTACCATAGGAGAACAGGGCTGTCCTGTGGATCAAGCGTGGGTTTAAGAAGAGTGAGGCAGGAGGGTATTATGGTCAGGGAGGGGCATTCCAGGGGTCAGGATCATGCCCATGAACCAGGGTGGGGTGATGGTGAAGTCTGAATTACGTTTGCCCTGTGAGTGCCTGAAGTAGAATAATGGAGTTGATAATTAGGGAGATGAGGCTGTTTCACTGTGCCTGCCAGATTCCCCAAGAATGAGGGCCAGAGTTGAGTGGAAGAGAATACTAAATACTGTGAGACTGTTATTGACAGCTTGAGTAAAGAGGGAGAGTGATGTGAAGGCTAAGCAGGGAGCTGTGGTGGCAGGGTCTGGACGGAGCAACAGATGCCAGTCCTCTTGCTTGCTCGGCATCTTCTACAAGAAGCAGCCAGAGCTGCAGAGGATGGCAGCAACCAGGTCCCTTCCAGAAAAAGCCAAGGTTCCTTGAGTGCCACAAGCCGCAAAGAGTATGAGAGGAAGCCGGCCAAGATGAAGAGGAGTTTGCTAGCAGTAGAAGGGACTCTAGGAGGCTGAGCCAGGGAGAGTAAAAGTTTGAGGTGAGGTAGAAGGGGAAGTTGTTTTGTTTTTGTTCTTTTCCTCTGAACTGTAGGGATCAAGGAAGAAGGAGGTATGAATTTCCTAGCATAGGGCGGGGAAAGTACCAGGTGATTGGAACAGGAAATCAACATCAGGGGCAGTGGTGTAGGAAGCAGGGGATGATACCAGAGGCAGCTGTCACTGCCAGACTCCTACGTGATCCCTGTGTGTGGAAAGAAGCCCCATGTCCTCGTAACCCTCTCCTTCCTTACAGATTCTGGGGCAGGTTAGTGTCCGGTTGTCGCAGACTTCCAGGCAGTCATTGACTCATTCATAGGATCCTAGAAGAGGCCTTGGAAGCCACCAAGCCTTTCGTTTACAGAGGAGGAAACAATGGCATAAGGGAGTCTGGTGAGTTGCCCAGGATCCCACGACTAGTAAAAGGCCAAGATAGGATTTGAACATGTATAGGGCCCTATGCACTATGCTATTCTTTCAACAGATATTTATTTGGTCCTCTTACCATGTGGAAGGTGTCATGTTAGGTGCTGTGAAGGATGAAAATAAGTTCAAGAAGAGTTTGACACTTGACACTTAACTAGCTGTGTGACCCTGGGCAAGTCACTTAACCCCAATTGCCTCACCAGAAAAGGGAAAAAAAAAGTTTGAGATAAATTCATG